TTGGAAACCCAATATGGGGTTGCTATATATGGGAACCAACTCAACAGCACTTCACAACAATATCAGCTTACCAATGTGAAGTCCTGAATGTGGGTTTGGGAAGATATATACATACTAGGGTCATGAGAGGATCTTGTACTTGACTGACTTGTCAATGGAGAAAAACAATGACCTAGCTTATTGGTGAGGAGTCCCGGTGTGGCACTGCAGGATAATGCACTGGACTGCAAGGTTTGTTTGAACCGAAAGGTCTGCAGTTCAAACCCACTAGCTGCTCCTTGGAAACCCTATACAGGGTGGCTATGGGTCGGAACTGACTCAATGGCACTTAACAACAACGTTACTGGTGAATAAATATTTGGTGAAATTCCTGCATGTGATAATTCGGGAGAAAGAAAATGTACCCAATGGGTATAATGTTTGCAAGCATAATGTTCCCTTTTAAAAATGCATGTTAACTGCATCTTTCTATCATGTTGGTTGAGTGCATTGTAGATGTGGTGGGGGCAGATAACTTGTCTTTTTAGTTCCCAAGTCTATGGGTCAAGAAAAGCCACATCTACAATGGCTGACAGACAACCTCATGACGCCAGGCTTTGAGTCTGGTTGGATGAGATGCCGTGGTCCTTGGGGAGTACGTTCTGCACTCAGGAGGGACATGAATAATTGTCTCTAGTAAACAGACTCTGGTAGATTGCTATTCCTCAGGAATATTGACTTCCTTCCCTTTCTTGGAAAGAGGATACTTCTGCACATCACTAACGATGAGTTTGACTTGCTTTGGGCAACAGAATGAGATAAATGTGTTGATCAATTCTGAGCAGAGACCCAAAGAGGCCTCCTCTGTTTTTGCTGGACCTCTGTGCTTCAGCCGTCACCATAAAACAAAACCCAGGATGATAAGTGGGCACAGCTGAGCTGCCCCAATCAAGCTGTTTAAATTAACCCAGTTGAACTAGACGCAGGAATGCCTTCAGCTTTCTATCCTAGCCAGCAATCACACAGCAGAACCAGCCTGATTCAAGCAACCCTTAGTTGGCCCAGATTTGTAAACTAAATGTTTGTTCTACTGTGCTAGAGTCTTGTAGGTTCTGTTATGAGACATGATAGTGGTCCCAGATGAACTGCTTTAGCGGGCCTGTGGGGAGACTTGCTCACTCTGTCTTGGGCACCAGCACACCATGTCCTGGGCAGAACTGCTTCAGCAGATTAACAGTGGGGAGTCCTCCAGGCAGGCTCTGAAAGAGGGGTTGGTGTTAAGTGCACTCAAGTTGGTTCCGACTCGTAACAGCTGGTGGGTTTGAACTGTGGACCTGGTGGTTAAGCAGTCTGCTTCCAGGAAGTGGTTAGGCATGCTCAGTTCCTTGGGAGTGAGTGAACCAAGGGACCAGTGCTGAAGCTCTGCTGTAACCTTTCCAGCAGGAAGAGGAGGTTCTCTAACACACGCAGAGGCCCCTGCCATGCATGGCAGCAGGAGACCTGCTAATGTTCATTTTCCTTGCAGGGTTCCCACACCCATTTGACTCTGGACCCCCACTTTAGCTCATTTGGTTGCATCCACGGTGTTAAGTGTTGAGCCAAACACCTGGCAAGCAAGGGTAAGGGCCCATGTGACTATGGCTCCTAGACTGCCCAACTTGTGTGTCAGGCTTGAAGACTGATCTGCCAAGTAGGTAGATCTCTTTATAAGAACATATTGGACTTGTCTGCCATGTAGATAGCTCTAAGTAGATGAACTCCTTTGACACATCTGCCATGTAGCTATAATTCAGTATAAGGAAATGTTGCACTACCCTGCCATGTAGCTAGCTCTCTGTATATGGACATTTTGGAATCGTCTGCCATGTAGCTAGCTCTCTGTACATGACTATGTTGGATTGATCTGCCAAGGAGGTAGCTCTCTGTATATGAACATATTGGACTTGTATGCCATGTAGGTGGCTCTCAGTATATGGACACGTTGGACACATTTGCCATGTAGCTAGTAACCTGAATATGGACATGTTGGACTTCTCTGCCATGTAACTAGCCCTCAGAATATGGACATTTTGGTTACATCTGCCATGTTGCTAGAACTCTGTATATGGAAATGTTGCACAACTCTGACATGTAGCTAGCTCTCTGTATATAGACAAGTTTGACTCATCTGCCTTGTAGATAGAACTCTGTATATAGAAATGTTGCATTACCCTGCCATGTAGCTAGCTCTCTGTATATGGACACTTGGGACTTGTCTGCCATATAGCTAGCTCTGTGTACATGGATGTGTTGGAATGATCTGCCAAATAGTTAGCTCATTGTACATGAACATACAGGATTTGTCTGCCATGTACTAGCTCACAGTATATGGACACGTTGGAAACATCTGACATATATTTACAACTCTGAATATGGACATGTTGGAGTACTCTGCCATGTAACAGTACTCTGCCATGTAGCTAACTTTCTGTACATGGACATTTTGGACTCGTCAACCTCATGCGGAGAAGGGCTCAGGTGGGGAGTTCAGAAGGCCAGCGTGCAGGGCCTACAAAGGGCCTTAGTCCTGCATCCTTCTCTTTGTTCTCCAGCCCTGTTCCAGAATTGGTCCAGATGCTGGGTCAGGCCCCAGGCCCTACTCACTGGTTGCTTTGAGGTTCATTGCAGTGGCTGGATCTCTGCCAATTGCTGCTGCAGCCTTGCCTGACCCAGGTCCTTCTATCTACTTGCCTAGCCACCGTACTTCTGGTGTGGTGCTGTAGGATCAGCACTAGACTGTGAACCATAAGGTTGGTAGCTCAAACCCACCAGCTGCTCCTTGGAAACCCTATACAGGGTTGTTATGAGTCGGAGCTGACTCAATGACACTTAACAACAATTCACCTCCCTTGGAACCCATGGTTCAGCACCCCTAATCCCAGCCGATCACTTAGGTCCTTTACTCCTGGCCCCATCTCACTCTGACTCAAATGTGCTCTATCACACTGTCCATCAAAGCGGAGATTCAGACATGAGAGCATGGAGCTAGTAGGCCTTGTTCTTAGCAAACCAACTCAGATGTCAGATCAGTTCACTGGAAGAACTGTCTTTCCTGTAAAACATGTCAAATCTTCTCCTGCCCGCAAAGACAGTAAACAAACAGCCAGTAAACGTCTTAGCATTAAATATTTCTTGGTGAAGGCAGGATAGTCCATTTTGACACTGTTAAGAAAAATTACAGCCCAATTTCCATTCAAACGCACTAAATTTACAGCTCAGGTTCTCATTAACTACTGCCAAGGAAGAAGCAGACAGACAAAATAAATTATGAAAAAATTACTTTAATGTACAAAAAGACTCATTTACAAATTGAACATGTCATCTCAATTCATAGCATGTAGAAAAAAGCTAAAAATGTTTTGGAGATATAAATTTGGTTGGATGGTTCACCTACAGAATTCTCAGGAGTGACGTCTTTTGTACAGAGTATATACAGGTTGAGAATGGCTAGCAAAATCCTGCGTCAGGAAGTAAACAAATGCCAGCGCAGAGCCCCAGAGCTTTGAGAAGTCCAAGGGCTGGTCATTCAAAGTTGGCCTTGTCTTTGGACTTCAACAGACTTTGATGTTTTCTGGGAATGACGAGGTTAATGAGAAAGGTTTGGAGAATACTTGGTTGAAGCCAGGGTCAGAAACAGAAGCAAGTTCATGGTGCAAATGGCTTAGCAAGGTTGCCACGAATTTAACATGGAAATGTTTAGGGTGGTGTATGTATATGGGATGAGGAATTCATCAACTCACCCGTTAAAACCAAGTTCCCAATTCCATTCCAGGTGGGACTTGATCTCACTGAACAGGAAAATTGGGTGATGATCCTTTAGAGTCCCCAAAATTAACCCCTTCACCGTTCCATGCCCACACCCATCATAAAACACCATGCAGGTCCACATTCTCAGCCAAATGGACAGGGAGAAACAGAGGGCAGGGGCAGAACACTGTGGCTTGGTACAGACGATTGGCCAAATGGTGGTGGGAGAGCAACATCCAAAGGAGCCTGGGAAGGGGGCTGTGATGCAGCCCTGGATTTTTCCAGGGTAAAGTGGGCATATAGTGCATTGGAGAAACAGAGGATTTGGTAAACATGCGACTTCTTCTTCCTACTGGGTCCTGGGTGCACCCTCGCCTCATCTCTAGGCACCATCGGTGCTTCAATTCGCTCCCTCCATGCCTGAACCACAGCAGCTCCGGTGGCCCCCGAGGTATTTAGAAATGAGCGTTCTTTACAGAAAGGGCTGCATTCTACACACAAACACTGTAAACACGGGCTGGGGAGGCCAAGGCAGCTTTGGGGTCTGTCCTGAGACTATGAGTATTGTTTTCATTGCTTTTTCAGGTGATACTTCGGATACTTAATTCACTTGTATACACTTGGACAGTCTGTAGGCCCCAAATTCGGCTTTCTGAAATAGAGATGGCAAGTCTACCAACCCTGGCATCAAGATGTGCTTCTGAATCACTCAGGTAGAATCAGTTTTGTGGCAAGTGACATTAGAGGCCTAAAGAATTATGCTTCATAGAAGAATTCTGGTAGGCCAGGGATTCCTTGTCCTTGTGGGAACTGGAATGAGAAGGTAATCTTGTAGCAATAGAATATCCTGTATGGCTTTCAGATTGAAACCCACTGTGTTTCCCCTCCCCTCTCGTTTCCCTGTACACTTGAAAGCCCTTGGCCAATGTAATCCTTCATTAGCTACATGGCCAGAGAAAAAGGAACCAAAGCAGAGGAGTCCTAGAAACACCAGTGGCTGGAAAGCACTGTGAAATGAGTTTTTCATTCCTGCCTTCTTTTCTTGAGACATTTTTCAGTGTTCAAAAAAAAATAACCCCCAAAGGCCAGAGGCTACACATGAGACTTCACTTAAAGCAGGTGTGGTTGGAGCCAGCTATTAGCAAAAATCCCTCAGACTTATTTAATACTTTTTTGGAAAAAGATGGGACACTAACCCCCGGCACTCGGGGAAGTGGATTCTCCAGGTCTGGGTGTTAGGTCATCATATTCAGGAACTTGTTCTCCTCAGCCAGGCTGCTGAGCATGGAACTCATGTCCCCAACAGCCATGTTGCTGATGCCCGTGGGGAGGGAGGGCAGAGTCAGGGAGTTCCGAGGGGTGGTGAGGCGGGAGGAGTTCTGGGAGAGGCTGGGGAGCAGGCTGGGACTCAGGGCACCTGAGAGCAAGCTTGAGTGATCACCATCATCCATGATGGCATCAAAATCAATCTGGGGGGCCTCCAGGAGCTGGGAGTCCACAGTGCTGGACACCTGATTAACCTCTGGTGAAGGCAAGGGCTGGGGCTTCATGCTTTCTGGGCAGGCTTGGGTCTGTGTGATCTGGCAGTCTGTGTGGTTCCCCACACCTGCATTCTGCTCATACATGTGGATCTGGCCATAGTAGAAGAGCAGGCTGTGGTCCTGGCCCCCACCTGGGTCCTGAGGGGGCAGCTGTGTGGGCATAGGCATCATAATACCCATCGTTCCCTTGGGCACGACCTCTGCTGTTTCCTGGTTGGTTGTCCCTGCAGTCATGGCATGGCCAGTGGTCCTGGTATAGGCCAGTTGCTGCCCAGCACGTACCCCACGGTGGCGGCTGGCAGGGCAAGGCTCAGGAGGCGGCCGGGGTTGAATTAGGCCAACGTTTGATGCAGTTGCCCCCATCATGCCCTGCTGGGACTCCATGAAGCCAGGCTGGTGGGAAGGTGGAAGGCTGGGACCCTGGCGGTAGCCCTCCTGGCTCATGGAAGCCGCCAGATGATGGCTTTGCTGTGAGTAGCTCTGGGATGGGAGAGACGAAAGGACCACAGCCGGGGTGGAATTGGGGGCCCCAAGTTCTCTGTGGCTGCTGCCTATCATGGTGGCATCAGGAGCAACGTCCATCTGCTGAGGGAGGCCTATGTGGCCTGGCTTGGCTGCCAGGTTGCTACAGGATGGGGAGAACTGGGTCAGGGGTCCTCCCATGGTGCTGGGGCTCGGTTGGGAGTGGGCTTGACCATAGCTGGAGTGGGGACTTGCTGTGGTGGTCATGCTGGGGCATTGACCACCTGTGGCTGGCTGTCGAAGCTGCTGCATGTAGTTTACCCTGGGTCCAGAGTGGGGATGCAGGTGTGGCTGTGTGCTGTCCAGGCCCACTGGGCTAGTCTGCAGGCCCGGCTGACTGTAGCTTGGGTACTGGCCAAGGGCTTGTTTCTGTGGCTCCACAACCAAGTTGCCCTGTGGGCAGGGCGGAGGCTTTACCTGGCTGGGCAGAATGTCCATGGTGCCTGAGCTCACTTCGTTCCATTGCACTGGCATATTGCTTTTGTTCAGGATAGAAGGGGCCCCATAGCCCCTCTGGCAGTCTCCCAGCACAGGGGCGGAGGGGCTCATGTTGGAGTCCGTGGTCACCATCCTACACTGGTTGTGTAGCCCTGGGCTGGGCAGCTTGGGGTTCTCGGAGAAGCTCGTGCTCTCAGAAGGATGCCCCTGCGGGCCACTTTCCTCCAAGGCGCCGCTGGCACGAGCCTGAAGATACTGTACCACATCATCCGGCAGCATGAGGTCGTCCTCCGGGACTGCGCCATCAGATTCCGCCGCCAAGGCCTCCATCACCACATTCTCACTGATGCTGGGCGGGCGTGGTGAATAGGCACCACCGCCCAGACCGCCATCAACTCGTGGATAGGCACGCAGGCCGAAGGCAGGGCGCTCTGCACCGGGCGGCAGCGCGGCTGGGCCTACGTTGCTGGCGCTGTGGAAGCGCTGCACCCGTGGGAGTGCTGGGTCTGGCCGCCGCACAGGGTCACTGGCCCGCCGCGCACCATAGCCTAGCATGTCATGCGCAAACGTGGGCATTGGTGCGGGGTAGCCAGTGGCCGGACCATCGCTGCCACGCCGTGGGCCCAGCGCACGCAGGCAGGGCAGCGGCAGAGCCGGCTCAGGCACGGGCGCATCGAGCAGCGCCAGCCGGGTCCTCAGATTCATGCGTTCTAGGCAGGGCAGGGGTGTGGGTGGCGGCCCACCGGTGGCCGCTGCGTACTTGGCCCGCAGACTGTACTGCTGCGCTGGGGTGAGGTGCAAGGGTCCCGAGCCTCCGCCACTGCACTGGCTGGCCTCACTGGAGCGCCGCGATGCATCTGTGGAGATGGGGTCGTAGTAATCGGTGGAGCTGGCATTGTTGGTGCGCCCGGGGCCCAGGGGCGAAGCCTCACTGGAGCGACGGCTGGAGAAGTAGGGGGAGATGCCAGAGGAGCGTCGGCTGACGGTGTAGGCCGAGCTGACGGTGCTGGTGGAGCTGTCTCTGCGCTCCTGCAGTTGGCTCAGCATGGTCACCTCACTCCCCGACAGCTCTGATAGCCGCGTGTTGGGCAACATCCCTGCAGACCCGCTGCTGCTGAAGTTTTCCAGAATGGCGCCTGCGGGAAGCAGAAAGCATAGGTCATACATGAGGTCAGGTGCTCGGCCTGCTACTGAGAGAGTCCTAGAGCAGTGCCGAGGCCTGCAGGTGCTCAGGTGCTGATGAAAGGCAGAGACCGCGGTGGACAAATGCCGGTACTTATTGTTAAGGGTGGGAGGTCCGAGGTAAGGAGGCTTGAGTGTGAGCTCAACCACCACCTGGCTGCCTCTGTAGTCACATTTACATCTGGCTGTCAGTTTCTCTAGAATGGGAAGATAAACATGCCTCTCTGTGGAGACGGCTGATGAGAGGAGAGGAGAAGGCTGGTATGGACTCTGTGCCTCAGACTGTGGACAATTGTTGCAAATTGGGCTTCCTGGGAGGGTGTCTGGAGGTGCCACACCTGTATCGGGGCCAGGGCATCAGCGGTAGGGAGAACTGTAAAACAGGATGTAGCATGACCTCAGCAGGTCTCAAAGGGAACCGTGGTGCTCAAATGGTCCTTCTGTGCTTTGCGGAGTAGGGCTGAGATAACCAGGCTGCTGCTATACCCCAGCACTGAGCAGTCCCCGGATGTGAGCCACCCCAGGTAGGCTCAGGACCTGGGAGTATACAACCATGGCGTTCCCCATAGGGCCCAAAAGTTAAGGCCATCTGCAAGCAGTTTGCCCAGTGGTGGTGACAAAGCCTCCCTTCAGGAGGTACCTAGTGGTACATTCAAGTGCCCACCATCCCATAGGGCAGACTAGGGGCTTCCTGGGAGGGTGCCTGGGTACAGAGTTAGCATTCATAGTCACCACCTTGTGAAAGCGAGCACAGTGCGGCCTCCTCCACAAAGTCCTCCCTGCTCTGCCCCAGCTTTCTCTTCCTCCGCACGCCCTCAGCTTATCTCTGTCTTCAGTACTACCAGTCTGCTCTACAGACAAGTGTGCATTTAGTAGCACGGCCTCACTGCAGGCACCCAATGACTGACTGGGTGGCCAATGAAGAGGATGGTGTGAGCCAGTCTGCCTGTTTTGGGTCACAGGAATGCAGCATGGTTTAGAGGAAGGAGCACAGGCTCTAGAGGCCTACCACTCGGGGCCTCAGTTTCCTTCTCTATAAAATGGGGTTGATAAGAGCTTTCCTATTGTGGGCACCCACTAAGTCAGCACATGGTACCTGGTAGATCGGTACCTACTTGATACTGCCTTCAGCTCTGCCTCTGTACCTTCCCTAGTTCTACTTACCACTTCCTGGGAGGGGAGGCAGCTTGGTGGGCCGGGTGTGTGGAGCTGGCCCGGCCCATGAGCAGGAATCCTTGAGCGACTTGAGCTTCTCCTTCTTGAGCTGCTCCAGCCGGTGCATGGTGGACATGTGCTTTCGCAGCTGCAGGCCGCCAGCCGAGGGGGCAGCCAGGGCAGAGGCAGTGGACCCCGGAGGCAGGTCCTCCAGTGCTGTTAGGTCTCCCAGGCTCCCAGGCCCTGTCCCTGGCATCGCCACGCCGCCGTCAGTGTTGGAAGCATTGCCCAGGGGCGAGGTCTCACTGCTGCAAGATGACTGGGCCCCTGGGCTGGATTGACAAAGCTGTGGGGGCACAGCAAGAAGGCACAAACTCAGAGGGCATGAGTACTTGCATAGCCTGCACCTGTACCCACACTGCACATGTCAGGGAAGAAAGCTGGGCTCAGAGGGGCTTTCAGAGCCCCACTTGTTTTTATTGCACGAGAGGGTCAAGTCACTTCACATCTCTGAACTGAACTGCCTCTGTTGCAGGGACAACAATGGACAGAAAGCACCCAGAATGCGGAAGGCACCAGAACGGTGAGCTCCGTAACTCTGTCGGTGTTTCTGCACTCTCCCAGCCTGTGTCTGGCCTAGAGATCAGCCTGCTGGGCTTTAAATATCTGGCCACATTCAGGTGGCGACCCCTGGAGGCTGCACAGCCTGATAAAGCTGGCATGGAAGAAGACACGTTTGTACCTCCAGCCCCATTCATGTGCCATACAGCGACACAAGGGACAAAGAGAGACTGCTGACTCGGTGACTCCTACTGGGCAGGTGATCACAGCAGCTCAATGGCAAGTTGTCGGGAAGGAAGAACACAGTCAGAAAGGGTTGAAGTGTTGCAAGCAGCTTGCCTGGCATGGCACCTGAGCTAGAGGCTCATTTCTGTGGGCCTGAGAAAGATGGAAGGGAGCGGGTAGAGTGGGGCAGAGACCTTGCTGCATGCATGATGCAGAACACCCGAATTCCTGCCATGTCTACATCTACTGGGACCCCAGATCTGCCAGCAGCCCCAGGGAGGCTTACTGCCCATGTAGTGGCTCTGAGCTCATTCTTAGGTGTAATTCCAGGCCTTTCCTAAGGAAGTCACAAGGCTCCCAGGAAATACAACCTGAGAGACCAGTCCATATTCCTGTCCTTGGCACACAAGACCCTCTGCAGGCCTGAACTAACAATGCCAATCCTCTATCCCCACTGCAGCTTTGTTAGGACCTACTCTGATGGTCCCACCTGAGTGCCCATCTTCAGGGATCCCTGTTTGTTGGGGTCAGCACAAATGAGAAGACTCCCAAGTGGAGTGAGTTAGTCTTGGGGCCTGGATGACAGCATATCTCCACTCCCTACCCCACCCTCACTCATGCGGCAGCCCCCCAACACCCCCCCACCCCAGATCTCCGCTCACCTCAGTACTGTCTATCCTTAAGGGAGGTACATATGGGGAAAAAGAGGTGGAGACAAAGAACAGGTGGTTAGAACAAAAGCAGTGCAGGTCAGAGGGGTCTGAGAGCAGAGACAGGAATGGGGGGTGGTCCTAAGAGAGGCAGACACACTGGAACCACTCAGTCTGCACACAAAGACCCCATGAGACAGGCACGTGATTGCCATCTCCCACAGCCTAGTCAGCAAGGGCTGCTAGAAATGGAACAGGAGCTGGGCCAGACAGGGGCCGTGTGAGTCCCCCGCCCCAAGTGGAGAAGGGAGGAGGCCAGGTTGGAGTGAGCAGGGGTGATGCAGGTGTCTGCCGCCAGCTGGGAAAAGGCTGTATGGTCTGGGACCTCGGCTACCAATCCTGCTTACCATGGAACTCTCAGTCTTGATGGATTTGATGTGCAGGCAGTCCTCCACCACCTGGCTGGTACTGGTGGCTTCAGCATTCTCCTCAGGGCCCCGGCCACCGGGCTTGGCACTGGCCTCATTGTCCCCATTCTCCTTAAGCAGTGAGGGGCGGAGATGCACATCATTTCGCTGCTTCTTGGTGACATGAGCGTCTGGGCCATGCACTGTTTTCACATGCTTCCGGAGTGAGCTGGGGTCCGTGTATCTCTTGGTGCAGCCTGGGATCTTGCAGATGTAGGGTTTCTGGAAAGAGATCCAGGCCTGTTATGGGTAGGGTCCTCCTGAAGCCACCCATTACTTCACAGAACCTGGTTGGCAAAATCACCAGGGCACCACTGTATTTATTGCCCCAGGCCCACAGGTTCCCAGCTTGCCTGGTCTGCCACCCTCCACTGCATTGAAGTGCTTGGCTAATACAGCTCCTGCTACAAGCTGAGACTTCTGGGGCCGGAAGTGCACGTGCCTTTGATCATGATGTCTCCCTGTGACAGCACACTGGTGTTTTTAATACAAGAGGGTACTAGCACTCCCCAATTTCTCTGATAAGGAAAGAGGGGCTCAGAGAGGCAAGGAAACTTGCTCAACTTCATCTACTACTGGGATGAAAACTTCGGTTTTCTGAGTCTGAGTTCTGGGGTCTCCGCACATACTTACATGCGTATACACTTACACACACACACCTCTCAAAGGCTGGCTGGTATCTGTAGAGGCTACAAGGAGTTCAAATATCTTTGGGATTTCCTTACATGTCTTATAAGCACTGGCACAAAGTCCCTTTCTAAGTTTCCAGAAACATTCTTTCATAAGTTTGAGTAACAGAAATTGAGTGTTGGGTGGGACTTCCCTTCCTGAGCTCTCTTGGCAACAGTGGCCTAGTCTAACACCATGGTGACCCAGTCAGCACTGGAAGCTGGTACAGGGCATGGCGGAAAAGGGGCTCAGACCCTACTGTTACCCCATCACTACAATGCTGCTGCCCCAACTCTAACCCCTGCTTGCTATGGAAATGATGGCTTTCAATCTTGGGGGATCTGGATGGACGCCCATATCCCAGAATGTTGTCTTAACTACAGATGAGTCAGCATCCTTGGGTTCCAAACTCGTGGCTCAGCCTACAAGCTATGTGGCGCTATGGCCATTGATTTCATCCCTTCATGCCTGAGAAGACCCTTAGCTACTCTGAGGACTAACAGAGTGGACCCTTGTCAAGTGACATGGGTAGAACTCACGATACCAGAGGGAGCATCCAGCCACAACTTTAGCTAACGTGGACAGTGTGGTGGCCTAGGAGGAGGGTGCCACTGTGTTTATTACAGAGATTTTGTGAGGGGTCTGTCAGGAGGCAGCCCAGAGAGGGTGATGGGCTTGCTCATAGCTTCCCAGTTGGACAGTGGATTACAGGATCCCCACCACGGGAATCTGTGAGTCCATGCAGCTAGTCAGTGTGGGGTGAGGGCACTTGGGGGATGCATTCCCACATGTCAGTAGGTGGGTGGTACCTCATTGGAGTGAGTGCGGTTCTGGTGCTTGGCGCGGTCAGAGGCATTGGAGAAGGCCTTGTTGCAGCCCTCGTGCTCACAGACGTACGGCTTCTCCCCAGTGTGGGACCGCAGGTGTGTCTTCAGGTTCTCTAGGCGAGAGTAGGCCTTGGAGCAGCCCTCAAACTGGAAGGAGGAAGGCTTAGTCAGTGGGAGCCCAATCCCAGGGCCCGGCCCTGTCCCTACCTCCTCTCTGCCTGAGCATGTAGGTACAGATCTTCAAGTCTAAACAGAAGAAAACCCCAGCATCCAGGGTAATGCCATCATGACATTTGTGTGGCACACCCCTCACCCTTTTGTAACACTCTTTGTAAGCATGGTTCTATGCCTCTAAATGTACTGATTCATGTGTCCAGCAGCAGAAGAATGGATACACAAAATGCAATGGAATGTTTTTCAGCTATAAAGAGAAACCAAGTCCTGATACTACAACGTGGATCAACTTTGGAAACATTATACTGAGTGAAATAAGTCAATCCCCCCAAACCGACATATTATATGATTCCATTTATATGAAATGTTCAAAGTAGGCAGAGCCAAAGATTAGTGTTTGCCAGAGGCTAGGGAAAGAGGGAAATGGGGAGAGACAGGTATAGGGTTCTCTGAGGGTGATGAAATGTTTTGGTTGTAAAACTTTGGGTATATATATATATATATATAAATAAACAAATAACAGCCCATTGAATTGTATGTTTTAAAAGGTTAAAATCTCATTATATGCAAATTATACATCAACAATTTTTAAACTTGCCAACAAAAGCAGTGTATTTCATTTAATCCTGGACACCACTGGCTTTCAGACAGAGCCTGAGAACAAAATGGAGTGTGGTGGTTCACAGGGGTGTCCCAGATGCTTACCCCACAACCACATCACTGCACCCTCCTCACCTCCCAATGAAGGGAGGACCATTTCTGTGGGTCTCACTGCTATAATACAGCCACAAACTCTGTTCATTCTATATGTTGGTGGTGCTGTACATTCGGTTCCGACTCATAGTGACTCAGTACATTTTTGCGGGGACAGAAAGCGTCATCTTTCTCCATGGAACAATGGATGGTTTGCAGGCCAGTGCTACCATATTGATCTTACAAATCTATTGTACTCCTCTCTCAGTGCCTCAGAAACCTCATACAAGGTCACTATGAGTTGGAACCAACTCAGCATCACTAATAACATCTTTGGACTCACTCTTTCTGTAACTTCAGCCAGTGTTTTTAAACCCATCACTGATCACTCAAGTTGGGAATCATCAGTGAAGTCTGCTCTGTGCAGGTACAGACTGCAGACCCCTCGGACCAGCTCCTCTACCTAGTCTTGCCCCACCATGCTGACGAGCACACTCACCTGGCATGACCACAGACACACATTAGGAGAACCCAAAGTTCTGGGATTGCAGTTGGACTGAGACAGGTAGAAGTCCAGGAGACAGAACTGACTGGGTAGGCATGGACAGAGGGCCTGCCAGCCAGACCTGTCCAAACAAGGAACCTACTTCATCCCATGTCTGCCTTTGGTCAGACATGTTCAAATGAGTTCCTGCAGCTTAGGTTAACAGACCTAAGCTCGCTGCTGTGGTAAGGAGATCTGGAAGCCATAGCTGGCCCATAGGAGCCACTCACCGTGCATTTGTGGGGCTTCTCGCCTGTGTGCCGGCGCATGTGCACCACCAGCATATACTGTGCCTTGAAGGGCTTCTGTTCACGCGTGCAGGCCTGCCAGCGGCACACGAACTCCTTCTTCTCCCCATGAATGTGGTCGTTGTTGATGTGCTGCAAGGAGCAAGTTCACGGAGGGGTGAGCCCAACCACCCGCCCATACCCCAGGGTCCACCTACTGTAGGCTGACCACCCCATTGGACTCCACATGCTACTGGTCAGCCACCCACCTCACTGTTTATCCCTCCGGCTACGTCCAGACTTACACTCACTGGACCACGGCCAACTACACACAGTACAACTACTAAACCACAGCACTGGTTCACTCACCCTACTATGTGTAGACCATCTAACCCAGTGGGCCTCTCACTAGTATGTGGGACCACCTACTTCACTGCACTCTCCGCTACTATGTCCAGACCCTTCACCCAACAAAACCATCACCTACTGTATTCCAGGCTACATGATTCTGCCCAATAGTAGTGGTTGCTGCTAGTGTCATCCAGTTGGTTCTAACTCCTAACGACCCTGTCTACAGTTTCCAAAGTTGTACATCTTTGTGGGAGCAGAAAGCCTCACCTTTCTCCCGTGCTATATAACTATTGGTGTTGTTAAGTGTCTTCTACTTAATTCCAACTCACAATGAACCTGTGTAGGGTTTCTGAGGCTGTACATCTTTACAAGAGCAGAAAGCCTAATTTTTCTCCAATGGAGCGGTTGGTGGGCTTGAACTACCAACCTTGTGGTTCCCAGCACAGTGTTTATCCTACAGAGCCACCTTGCCCCTTTCCAAATAATAGGGCTATTCATTAACTATCCATTTTAATGTTAAGTGCTATAAAGTGGGTTCCAAATCAGTGATCCTGTACAGGGTTTCTGAGGCTGTAAATCTTTGTAGGAGCTGAAAGTGGCTGATGGGTTTGAACTGCCGACCTTGTGGTTCAAAGTCCAGTGCTTCCTCTATTGCCATGAAATGATAACCTAGTGTGTGCTACTTGTCTTACTTGCATTTTCCCAGTAGTCATGTGGCCATCTAAGACCCACTGGTGCCCTGCCTACCCTCTGGGGTTCCACCTACTCCATGGGAAATAGAGATTGGGACAGTGCCGTAGGCTGCAGACACTGGGCGCTCATTCAAACAACGTGGCCCACAGTCTGTGCCCGGTGCACAGACATCCTCTCCTGAGCTAGCCTTTACAGTTTTAGAAATGTTCAAATACAAGTTTTCATTTCCCTCTTTCTGACAGTAAGCCCGTGAAATGATGGATTTTTGCCTTGTCTGAGGCCCACAGGGTGAGTGCAGGCTTGGAGCAGCTGACAGGAAGTGTGGATGGAACACTTGTGCTGTGCATTGGGCATTGTAGAGGCCACTCTAGGCTGGCCCAGGAGAGCAAGGAGGCAGCCACTAGCAGGCACAAATGACCACCCAGAAATTGACCCTCCTGCATGGCCCTGCAGGGTCCACCTTCCCTGAAGGTCCTCTGGCCCATCCCACTGCTGTGGGCCAGGATCATGGGCTAACTTTTCTCCCATGTCCTGTCCCGGGGCTCATCAAAGTTGGGCTGTCAGTGCACCTTCCTGTGACAGACCACAAATGTCCACCCATGAGAGAGAGGAAAGGTCCCATCTTCACTAGAGCAGAGGGTTGCTGCCTCTGTACCTGGCCTGGAGCCCTTGGTGATACAAATAGCTAATGTGCTTAGATGCTAATGGTGACCTTGGTGCCTTGAAACAAAGGCCAATTCTACTTCCAAAAAAATGGCCACTGAAAACCCTCTGGTGCACAGTTGTACTCTGACACACATCGGGGGGCACCATGAGTCAGGGCTGAGTCCATGGCAACCATGCCAGCTGGAGCTCAGCACGTGTGATGGTGGAGGCTCTTTGGGTTGGCTTGTTTCACTGAGGAGGGGGAGGAGGGGGAGGAGGTGGTAGATCGAAAAAGGCCATACTCCCTCTTGGGTTTCTTTCTAATGGCTGGCAGGAAGTTTCTGTGGCCCCGACAAGACCGAGCTCTTCCTCTTCTATCTCCCTCTTAGCTGCTAGGTTACGTCCAACTGTCTCATGGGTCAGGCTGGGCTCACTTCTCCCCAGGGAATGGCTGGACCACTGAGGTTGTGGAGATCTCCCCTTCCTTTGCCCCCATGCCCTCTGTTCTCTCTATTCAAAGCACCCTCTCCCAACTTGCACTTCCTCCTGTCCACCCATTCCCCCACAACCTCCAGAACAGAAGCCATTTGCGATACGAGGCAACTGAGCTCTTGAATGTGACTGTTTGCAACTGAGTTGGGCTGCCAGTGTCAGACATGTAGAATGAATGTTTTATAGTGGTAACATGTTGAAATGGTAATAATTTGGGTATGGTGCATTAAATAAAACATGCTATTAAAATGAACTTTAACTGCTTCTTCTTTACTGTTACTGAATGTGCTTTAAAAGCCATTGTTGTCTAATCAATTCTGACTCTTTGTGATCTATTTGTGACAGAGTAGAATTGTTCCATAGGACTTTCTGGACTGTCATGTGTTTATGGAAGCAGACTATTGAGTGTTTGTTCATACCACTGGGTGGGTATGAACTGTGAAGCTTCCAGTTAGTAGTTGAGAACAAACCGCTTGTGCCATTTAGGGTCCTAATGTGCTCCTAGGAAATGTAAAATTGCATCTGTGGCTTGTATTATCCCTCTGTGAGACAGTACAAGCAAAGACCTCTGCAAACCAGGCTGTCCAGGCACTGGGCATTACCTTACCCAGAAGACATATCTGTCCTCACATCTGGCAAGGATAGAAATACTGCCACTGCAGCAAGTGAAATCTACAGCGCTTTCAACTCCCAGGGAAACAACTTCCAGGAAAACTGTATCTTGTCAGCCTCGCTCTTCATTTTTAAAGCTTTTTGAATGATAAAAATGTTTCTTGAGAATACCTTTCATTTTTTTTCTATTGGTTTACGTAGCAGCAAATAGTTCATAATGGCTGGAAGCTGCGCTCACTGTGTGCCTGCTGCATCCGTTTTCCAGAACTGAGAAAGGCAGAGCTTGGCAAAAGAGCCAGCTCTTCTTATGCAGTAGTCTGCTCTTCCTTAGGCCAGTAGGAGGCCACCACCCTGCCCATGGACAGAGGATGAAGTCTGCGGAGAAGCCCCTCCCCAGCTCTGAGCCCACCTGTCCATGTTCAGGAATCCCCTCTGGTCTCAGGGCTGACCCACTTACCTCTGGATACATCTTTCTATTCCCACCTCCTTTGTGTAAGCCTGAGACACAGGCCCCTGTCTCCCCACTGAACCTAAATTATATGTCCTACAACTTGTAGCTAAATTGCGCCTTCTTCATCTAGGACATCTTGACTCAAAAAATTAGGTTTTAGTTCCAGAAAGGATTAGATAAAATCCTGCTTCATAGGTTCCATGTCAGCTCCAGTGTATTTGCTTGGAAATTCTAGTCTCCCAGAGGGTGGGGATTGGGGAGAAAAGTCCAATTTATGAATCAAGGAAGCTGAGGGGCATGTCCTAAAGGGCTTTGGAATGTGAAGCGGACCATGCACACGTGTGCATTAGAGTGTGTGTGACAATGTGTGTGTTTGAGCATCCATCTAAAACTTGGGGTGCTCTTCATCTTACTGAAACCCATTTACAAAGGTGTGGGGAGAGGATTGATCACTGCTCAGGCTGGAGTGTGAACAGAGGGGAGGAGCCACCTACAGAGCATGCTCAGAACCCTGCTCCTGCTCCTACACATCTCCCCCAACAGCCACCACTTTCCATGTTCCTATAGGAAAATTTTCAACGGAAACCAAGAAGCATATCTTGAAGGCTCCACTTGGCTCCTCTGGCCTTCTCCAGTGTCCTGATCTGCTAGTACCCATAGTAGATACTTAACCTGCATGCATCATACACTAGGTCCCTGTGAGTGGTTTCCAAATGTTTCCTCCATGGGAACAACTTCTTTCAGGCCCTATAGTCAGGTTTACTATTATCTTGTGGGTACTGCCTTTTTTTTTTTTTTTTTAAATAATCTTATTTCCCTCTTTGCACTGGCTGCTAGGAAGTTCCATTTTTAATACTAACTCTACTACTGCCTTTATTTTATTGTTCCTTTTCTCATTTATTAATTTTTATTTACTCTATTATAATAATTATGTACTATGTATATTTACTCTGTTGCATTATCTATATGTATAGCTCTGGTAACATAGTGGTTACAAGGTGGACTGTTAACCTCAAGGTCAGCACTTTGAAACTACCAGCAGTTCCATGGGAGAAAGATGAGGCTTTCTGCTCCCATAAAGATTTACAGCCTCAAAAACCCTATGCAGGGTTGCTTTGAGTCAGAACAGACTCCATGGCACACAACCACCACCATCACCACCACTATATATATATCTATATCCCCTGATTCCCCCCATGTGGCCTGGACCCTGTACTGGTGGGTGGGTATGGGGGCTGGGGGCTTACATGTACTAGCTGCTCCTGAGCATCATACTCCCTGGTACAATCTTCCCAGTGGCAGTTGGTCTCATAGATGACCACCTCGGGCTCCTGCTTACAATCGTCCCTGTCCAGGTCGTCCTTGAGGTCAGTCAGCTGCTCCTGGGTGAGGAAAGAACATACCCTTTTGAGCTGTGTCCAGCCACTTGGTCCTGAGGAGATGCTGCTATCAGTTCCCTGACCGGGTTGTCTTGGCAGACGGGTGGTAGACACACTCACTCACTCATCAACCTCCCATCCCTCCGCTGTCTTGTGAGACAATAGCCAGGGACCCTCCCACCTTTCTGGTGTTGCCCCATCCCATTACTCTAGGCTCTACAACAAGGAGGACAGGAGAGAGGAGCTCACCATTTGTTTGGTTTGTGTTCTTGGTGGGGACAGAGCTTGAAGGCTCTGAAATGGGGCATGTTTCCTTAGGACACCTACTATCTGAATGACCATTACTATCACAGTGTGCCCCCTTCTCCGGAGCCCACGGTGTACCTGGACTCACAGCCAGGACAGAGCTGTGGGTCACAGACAGAGCAAGACACCCCAGCCCATCTCCTAACAATTCTCCCCACAGCAGCCCACAAACTGTGGGCATTTGTGTTCTTACTTTACAGCCAGGGAAACTGAGGCCAGTCTGTGGCAGCCTAGAGCTGGACTTGAATCCCAACAGGGCCATTTCAAGGAGGTAGAGGAAAACCCTGACATTCCAGGGACTGTGTACCAGGACCAATGTTAAAGAAGTGTCTGCTTGGGACCGTTAGCAGTTAGGTCATCTGTGGGCCTGCAGCGAGTCATGGCAACCCCAAGCTCAATAGAAAGAAATGCCGCCAAGTCCTGCATCATCTTCATCATCAACTGTTGTTTGGACAGTTATGATTCATCAGGGTTCCACTGGCTTGCTTTTGGAAGTAGATCTCTAGGCCTTTCTTCCTGGTCCATATTAGCATCATGTTCAGCATCGTGGCAACATGTGAGACTCCACAAGATAGACAGATGGCAGTGTACAGTGTGCCCTGGTCAGGAAGTGAAGCCAGGTCTCTGGCACCCCTGCACCTTCATTGTCTCTTCACCTGACCATTGGTGCCTAAAGTTCTTTTCAAAAAGACACTCCTCTCCATTGAGTAGTATCCAATCTGTCTAGGCTGGGCTGATGAAAGGAAATGAGGATAGGTCTCTTGTGATACAACAGTTAATAATTGTTATCAGGACTGATTGTGAGGGTTGGAAATGTAAAGGTAGATGTTTTGTAGCAAAACGAGGGGAGTGATTCACTTTGCAGTCTAGGAGCAGAGGTCCCTGGGACCATCAAGGGAGAAGAGTGGAGAACGGGACCCTTCCCAGAGAAGCAGTGATGCCTGAGATGGAAGCAGAGATGATGACGTGGAGCGATGGAGCAGCTGGGGACTTTAGACACAGAGAGGGAGAGGGCTGTGTGCTGACAACCTGGGGGCAGGTTTGTAGGGTATACCCTTTGGTTGGTTGATGATGCACAGAGGGGATTGTAACCATGGCAATGAAATGATATACGATAGGATGACTATAAAACTAATGTTTTCCCATGTAAACTATCACATAATTCACAATAAAACATAAAAAAAAAAAAAAAAAAAAACACCCAAAAAACAAGGAGGAGGAGAAAGGAAGAAAAGAGTATCCTTTAAAAAAACAACAACAAAAAGATAGTCCTTTGCTCCTAAACCATCAACAGACTTGGAATTAACCCCCACCCGCTACAGGAACAGCCTCTGAGCAGAGATGTCAGCAGGAAGACTGGAAGGTACCAGGAGGTGAGGGGAGAGAGATCAAGGGGCTCCCAAAGCAAAACCCACTGCATGGAGTGATCTGTATCCTAGCATAGAACTGTCCCATATGGTCTGTAAGTCTGTGCATCTCTATGGAAACAGCTGAATGCTTTGACCACGGTGCCACCAGAGTTCCTCCAAGGGCCTCCAGAGGCAGACAAATGCTTCAGTACTTCCCAGTAACCTATGTGCCTGCTAGGCACACTTGGACAAAGTCAAGATTTGCTTTCTATTTCAAACTATTGCCAAAATCCAACCAGAAATGTTTCTGTTTTACAGAAGAGTCTCTGGAGGAAAACACTGATACTTTAGATTGGTGGGGACAACCCCACTCCCTTATTCAAGAACCACACCCCCACAGGCTCCATGGATGCTCTGAAGCCAAGCTGCAGCTGCCCATGCCAGTCTCATCCGTAACACTGTGTCCTTTTCTTTTTGGCTTTAACAAACACATTTATTCTCGTACAGTTTAGAAGCTAGAAGTCCAAATTCACAGTTTCATCTCTAGGAGAGGGTGTTCTTTCTCTATTGGCTCCCAGTTGAGGAGGCAGGTCCGTGTTCCTGTTCAGCATCTGTGGGCGTGGCATTCCTTGGAGATCTTCCTGCGTTGGCCTCAATCTTCCCCTGGATCTAACAGGTTCCCAGGCCTGGCTCCAAAGGACAAGCTCCACAACCGGCTCTTCTGCTTGGTGGTAGGAGTCCATTTCTAAGAGTGGCAGGAGTCAGTCTTGGGACTTCCTGTGGCCAGCCCAGACTCACACACTGAGATGTCCAACTGGAGCTGCAAATGATTCTCCAAAGAAAGGTTTCTGCTGTTTCAATGAGTCCATTTGTTCTAAGAAGGAAAATGATGATGTGCTATATAAGAACTCCTCGGGAGAGGCAGATGCGAGGGACTGTGCGCCAGGACCAAAGTAAAAGGCAGGCACAGGGGGCCTCTGCTCTGAGCCTTCATCTGCAGGGCTGTCAGCGGGGACTGTGTGGGGAAGTGGGCAAGGGAGCTCTTCATGCCCTCTTGGCACCTTAAGAAATACTGGAAAACCCACTTGTTTCCACAGGCTGCATACTTGGGGGCAGACTGATGGGCAGAGCACAGGTAGGTGTCCAGGCTTCCGAGGCAACCAAAAGGGGACTCCTTACATTGCATTTTCTGCCCACTGAGAACAAAGGAGCTGAGGAGTCCTTGGTCACTGAACCAGGACCCTGAGTGGCATGGTGACAGTTTCCTTGTGATAAACATTTTCCCCATGAGAGTCTATGCTGAGCAGGAAGGGAGACTCGCTCTTCTGTGGCTGCCTGGACTTGATGGGGACAGGGTCCCCCTGAAGGGTGGGCATGAGCCCCCAGGTGTTGCCACCCAGCCCAATAGCATCATTCCAGTGTGTTTGTCTTCCCTGGGTCTGTGCTGTCTCATCAATCCGAGCTGCCCCTGAGGATGGCTGGGGACCATGCATGACAATGGCTCCAGCATCGACCATCTGCTGGCTGGACAGTAAGAACACCCAAGAGCTTAAGAACACTGAATGCCTGTGGATGCCTGACAGTTTTCAGGGCTGACAAAGGGTGATGGGCAGATGTGCAGGTGGTGGGGATGGAGACCCCATCCTCCTTGTGTGGCATCTAGAGTTTGTGACACCATGGGGGTGAGAAGGTTTGCCTGCTGGTCAGCAGCCTGCCCACAAACTTTCCAGAGAGACCTCTGCTCCAAGAATCTGCCATGGTCTGCCTAATATCTTGGCAGTTTAGAAGAAGTGCAAAGACTTCAACAGGGACCTCAAAGGCTCCAGGCAGCAAAGGCCTGCCCTGGACTAAGGAATTGTCTTCTCTTCCCTCCCCACACCTCTCCACTAACTCACTCAGAGGTTTATTTGAAAGCATTATTGCAGGCGCTATGCAGAGCCTGGTGATAGGGCACCAACCAAGCCAGACACACCTCTCAAAGTTGTGGTTGCTAGCTACTGTTGAGTTGGCCCTCATGTCTCTTTGTGATCCAGTGGGGTTTTAGTGGATGCTTTTCAGATTGCCAGGCCTTTCTTCCTATCCACCTTAGTTTAGAATCTCCACTGAAACATGTTCACTGTCACAGTAACATGTAGCCTCCACTGACATATGGGTTGTGGTTGTGCATCCGGTCCACTGGCTGGGGATTCGACTTTTGAACCACTAATGCCTGCTCTTGCAAAGTGCCACCCCTAGGAATTTTACCATGTAGTGGGGAGTCTGAACTGATGCAGGTCCTATTGTCTGGGAGGGCAAGGAAACGGAGAGTGGTAGTAGGAACAGGGTGCGGAGGGACACCTAAGAGGGGCCTACCCCATTCATAGTGGGGGTCGGCTTGTTTGGACTGGGTTTGTTCACGGTGAGGGCAAGACACCAGGTGCAGCCTCTGGATCCATGGAAGTGTGGAGGGAGATCATTCACTTCTTCTTTAACTCAGCACATGGTTTATGAGTACATAGCAAGGGCAGCACTCTTGGGGTACAGCCATGGTCCCCTGAGATCACAGTGGTTCCCTTTCCACCTTGATTCATTTAGGGATCCAGTAAGGAGGCCTCAAAGTTGCAGGCCCCTGAGCTCACGATTTTACCACGGTGCCCTCATTCATTCACTCACACATGCATTCCTTCATTGTTCCCCAGCTGGGCTGCAGCCCTAGCTTGGCAGACCCAGAGACCATACTCCGATGGGTGGAGGCCTGCGTGTACCTGCGTCAGCGTCAGTGTCAGTGGGGAGGCAGGCCTCAGGATCTCGGCTTCTGTCTTGACCTTACTTCTCTTGTGGATGGGGATGGGGTTGACCGTGCTGCTCACAGCGGACTCGCTTGTCTGCTTGTTCTGGAGGTAGGGTACATACAGAGAGAGCCCATCATGTGGGAACAGGGAGCTCAAACACACAGACCCTCTGGGCCAATCCTTGCATTTGAAGTATCAGTATCAGAGATTTACTCCAGTGCAATGACTCATGGAGCTCAGTTTAGCAGAGTGGGCTGTGGAAGGAATAGTGTCATTTCATTGCATCTAGCTTGAAAATTTGGCCTGACAGACTCCAAAGTCTGTGCCCATTGTACTATATGATACCACTGCTATATCTATCTATGTATCTATCTATCTATACACATGTATCTCTTCGTCTGCAAAATAGAACCCCATTCATTCGTGTGCCAGGCATTGTGTCAGGATGCCAGGCAGATCAAAGACCCCTTGGAATGGCCACATAAATGCAGTGTGAAAGCCCTTGGTAAACACGTGCTCTAAATGAAGCTCCACACAGTAGTCATTATGTCTCAGAAATCCCTCATTCCATCCACCTGTATCACTCGCTGCCACTGAGAGGCTGGCGAGCTTGTCCACAGTGAGGATTTAGCCTGAGACTTTTTCAGTGTGTGGCCTTTGCCCACAGGCCTCTCACCAGGCAGCCTGGAGCCTAGAGTCCTGCACAAGTTACTGGCATGAGATGGAAGTGAACAGCCCTTGTGGGGCCTGGTTAAGTACACAGTGGTCCACCCCATGCTTCCTGGGCACACTTACCTGGTTGGTATCAGTCAGACAGTTGCTGCTGCCGCTGAGCTGGGTGGGTGTGGCATTGATGGAGGTAAGGGCCATGGGCTGCTGGGCCAGGAAGGTGGGCGAGGGCTGGATCAAGGGTGGTGTGTGTCCAAAGGCCGAGCCCAGGCCCCTCTGCTGACTCAGGATCTGTTGGTAGGCTACGGGGTTGATGGGGTGAGGGAAGGTGAAGGCTGGGCTGCAATAGAGAGTGAACACGGTAATGGAGCAGTAGTCGGGGGCTACTTGATGACATTTCCTGCCCTTGGGGTTGGGGTTGCCATGGCTTCCCTCCCTCAAGAACCAGTAGTGGCTCCTCATGGCCTGCTCTCTCAGGCTTCACCTTCCAAGCTTAGCTCTGGCCTGGTTCCAGGATACAGCTATCACCTGGAGCAGTTTGGGCCCTTGGAGGTGCCAGGGTTCTTTGCAACCCAACCCCACACACCTGCTCCTTGATTGCTGCTGTTTTAAACTTGATTTAAAACATTTGTTGTTGATTATCTCTCCAGGGCCTTAATCCTGAGATGCCTCCTCCCTGACCATTTGAGCCCATCTGAACTCTGCAACCTCTCCTAATGCCACCTCTTCCAGCTCACGTTCTTTGAACTTCTATTGCAGTGCAAGTTGCTACCGTATCATTGTCATGCGCCTCTTTTCAGGATAGATGTTGAGAAATTGATGGTGACATCGAAGGCTAAGCCATAAAAGATACTGATGCACCACCTGGTTTGCTCTGCGGGAGGTGGCCTCATTGAGAATATACTGGAGTAGCTAGCTCTGCTGAGAAGCTGTTGGGGAGGAACTGAGGCTCCTGACAATAGCTAAGGGACTGAGTCTTCTTGGAAGCAGATCCTACAGCCTAGTCATGCTTCCTGGTGCCTGCAGTTCTGCCGGTATTTTACTGGAGCGTCAGAGAGAGCCTGAGCCTGAACCACCTCAGATTCTGATCTTCAGAGCAGTGTGAGGAGGTACATGCGTATTGTTGAATTAAGTTGCTACATTTGAAGTAACTTATTACAAAGCCCAAGATAATTTATATGCTTGTGGTTAGGTCTATGAGTCAAATTCTTCTGACCTCCTGTCTTCCCTGAGATGGTCCAGAGGAAGGAAAAGAATTTCAGTCAAGTTGACTGGGGTCTGATGTGCTGAAACCACTCGAGGGCAAACTGTGTCCATGAGCTGTATGTGACCCCCATGGAGGTCACTGTCAGTCCAGAGACTGACTTCTTCCCAAGCCCCTGTTACATCTCTGTGGCATCCAATGGCCCTGTGAATGCCTCTGAAACACTAGAAAACCCACTTAGGTACAGACACCTCTTTGATCCCATAATTGGACTGTATGACAGAACAGTAAATGCATCTTTCACATCAAACACTGTGTTTGGGCGATGGGTTCTAGGCATGTGAAAATGTACTTAAAACTGATCAGATTTGAATTATTTGAAGCTCATCATCATTGGATTTGAATTCATGAAAAACGCAAGTGCACTAATTCACAAAGGTAACAAGTCCTGCCTTCTTCCTCGGGGTGGAAGTGCTTCTAAAAAGACAGGCCCACCCTCTTAACCCCACCCAAGCCTCAAGTTCACCCTACATGGAGCCCAGTCTCACCTGAGGGCACCTGCTGACAGGTGTCCATAGGAGCCGCTGGCTGCTGAGCTGCTACGGGAGTTATTAATATAGGCCACCAGCGAGTTGGGGGAGGTCCGAATCATGCGCTGCAGGTCCAGGCTGGCGTCGGAGAGCGGTGAAATGGACAGAGCCCGCTTGCGGCTCAGTCGGGGGGTGACCCGCGGACTGGAGAAGCGAGATACTGGAGGGGAACACAGGCACCAGGCATGTTAGTATTACCCACATGTGTGCATCTGTGTGTGTACGTGTGGTGAGGGGGGTGCAACAGAGGGAAGGAGAATGGGCGGATGGAGACAGGAAGAAGCTGTAGAGTTGGTTCCGTGGGAATCATAACACTTCTCTCCAGATGTGGACTTTTTCTGTGTCAGTGCACAAGACTGATCCTGGCAGCGGGTGGTGACAATTTGGGAAGTGTGTGTCTGAGCACCAAGCATTCCTTAGTGTCTTTACTGTTAGGCAGGTAAAACCCAGGATGGACTGGGCAAGTTGAAAACATGACACATCATTAGTAAATGGGTTCCCAACCAAAAAAAGTCCAGGGCCAGATGGCTTCACAGCTGAATTCTACCAAACATTCAGGGAAGAGCTGACACCAATCCTACTCAAATTATTCCAGAATATAGAGGAGGATGGCAAACTTCCCAATACATTCTATGAAGCAAGCATAACCCTCATACCAAAACCAGGAAAGGGCGTTAGTAAGAAAGAAAACTATAGACCAATATCCCTCATGAACATAGATGCAAAAATCCTCAACAAAATCCTAGCCAACAGAATTCAGCAACACATCAAGATAATACATCATGATCAAGTGGGATTCATATCAGGGATGCAAGGATGGTTCAACATTAGGAAAACGATCAACATTATCCACCATATAAATAAGAAAAAAGAAAAGAACCACATGATCATATCGATTGATGCAGAAAAGGCATTTAACAAAATCCAACACCCATTCCTGATAAAAACACTCAACAAAATAGGAATTGAAGGAAAATTCCTCAACACAATAAAGAGCATATATACATATTGTGTTATCTTTCAGTAATCCAGAACTTGATTGGAACTTAATCCAACAGCATTCTAGGAGGTTGTGGAATAATATCCACTTGTTTGTGGATATTTATCAGCTACATGCTCAAATTTATGATATAAGTAATTCTCAAAGTGAGCACTGAGTGGCTACTAATTTGCTACCCCTGCTAGAGAGTAAGATCCCCTAAGAACTTGATTGAACCTCAGCATAGTGATCCTGCTTGGTCACCTTAGAGCAGGTGGTGGGCTGGCAACGTCTTGCGTATGGGGTCCCCAGCCAATCTCCTCCCTCCCTGCCTTCCTCGGATGGCGGCTGTTTATGCTGGACATGTGGCCAGAGACGGGTAAGGATCACGTGGAACCTTGGCAACCTAAGACAGAGCCATTGCCATGCTGCAATGAGTTTCGATGACGGGTAAGACTGAGGAATTCGCACTGACCGCCTAAGACAGGCAGCATCCCTTAAACAAACAACAAATAAGGGGGAATCTGATGCAGACCGTGCAGACCCGGTCAGGAGGTCAAGACCCTGTGGGCCCAAGCGTTGTTGACCGTCCAAACCATAGGCTCTGAGGATCAGACTTTAGCCACCTAGTAGACATAGCAAAGTGTCCCTCATCTGATTATTCAGTAACGCTTGTTAGTAATCTCATACATGAGCCCTGGATATCCACAGACAAATGTAAAAACCTTCCCTTAAAGCCGAGACTGTAAATTCCAAAAAGGCAAGTTCCCCCCAACCCCCCTCCCCCCCCAAAAAAAAGCTAAAGAGGATAGAGGGAAACACTGTTAATTGATGATATATGGAGGGGATAATAATCAATGTAATGAAACAAGCTATATGAATGGTTGAATGTGAAGCTGATGATGTGCCCTGTAAACTTTCACTCAATCCAAAATAAAAACATTTAATAAAAAAAATAAATAAGTAAGTAAATGGGTTGGTGACTTTTTACAAAATGAGTCCAGGTCAGAAGCAGAACCTGGCTAGTGCCCCAGAAGGTCCCCTTTCCCTTCCAGTCCTACCCTACGGCAGCCTCTGCTGACTCCCACCACAGGTCAATGCCACTTATTGCTGAGCTCTATATAAATGTGATGACAGATGCTACTTTATGTCTGGCCCCTGGGTCCACCTTTCTAAGCTGGTGAGTTCTCCATGTTGGTCATTCTCTGTGTTGCAAGGTTCTATTGAGGAGCAAAGTGATTCAGAACTGGGACCTCGATCATGTTGTAATCAGGATAATCACATAAATGTCCCCTGGCAGGGTATTCGCCAAGCAGGGGCCTAGGTGGCTGCCCTCGGGAACCTGCTATAACCAGGGAGGAGGGTGAAAGGATAGGCAGTCTGACAAGATGTAGCAGAGCGATGCCACTTGGAGGACCAGGATTCTGGTAACCAGTTGCCTTGAAAACCCACACACACATACATTAACCTGCCCTCTCTGTTCTCACTCTCACCAGCCTCATCACACCCACACAAATGAGTACATATGAAGGGATTCTCTGTGTCCAGAGAAACGGAGTCTTCTCAGAATGCCACCTTACGGCTCCGTCTCCACCTCACAAGGATTTGGGTCTTTTGAGACGTGGCCTGGCAACAGCTCTGGACAACTCTCTCCCCACCAAGCTCTCCATCCTGCCCAGGTCACCACTTAATGGCTCTTTCAGTGCCACCCTCCCAGGCTGCTGTGATATGTGAACAAGGCAACCTGTGAAGACAGCCTGACATGGCAGGGACACCAGAGCTCTTGGCTTACCTGCATGGGACTGTCCCACCTTCTCCCTCCATGGCCTCTAGCTTCCCAAAGTGCTGGTGTGGGGTGTCTTTTCTAATCCGAGTTGAGGGGCTGCCCCTAGACAGCACCCAAGGATGTTTAGACTCACTGGTTGCGGGGCCCAGCCTGTCCAAATGCAGATCTCACAGACGGTGTGGCTGGGTCTACCCAGCCCTGGTCTACCCCGGGCTTACCACATGGCTCCTTCAGGCGCGTTCTGCTCTCCTCCCACTATAGTGCTGATGGCTGACTGCAGGGTTACTCCTAACTATGTCTGCACCAGGGCTTCTACAGCTGGGGGACATGGAGCAGGGGTGAGGAAGGCTCGGGCACATGGAGCCCATCCAGAAAGCTGAGGAAGTATGAGGCCCTCTGTTCACACGGTGGCTTCCCAGGCTGCATGTCCACAACCAGCAGGGGCTGTGTTAGAGCTGGGGGAACCCTGACCAGGCCCTGAATGCCAGCTTTATTGGAAGAAGGACATTGAGTGCCTATAACATACCCAGATAATTCCAGGGACCCTGGGAAATCCCCTTACTGCCAGACACAGGGATGAACACCTCTCTGGGGTGTGGAAGAGAGAGAAAGGGTCCTAGAAACCTCAGGTCAAGGGACTTCCAGGATTTTCCCTCCTAACGACCTTCATTATGGTAGGGACTGAGGCTGCTGACTTGTCCAAGTCCCACAGCAAGCTGCCCAGGTGCAGTGGCCAAGCCCTGCTGCTGCTGTGTGCTGTTGAATTAGTTCCCACTCATAGTGACCTACCAATTTATGTTTTTCCCGAGGTTATACACTTTTATGGGAGCAGAAAGACTCATCTTTCTCCCTCAGGGCAGCGGGTGGATTCAAACTGATGGCCTTTGAGGTTAGCAGGCCAACAAGAAACCCACTATACTACCAGGGGCCCAAGCCCTAACTCAGCATAAATCACTTTATCTTGTTGAGACTCAGAGCTTCAATAACCTGAGCACAAACATGGTTCCCTGCCAGTTTAGGGAGTTATGATCAGTCGGAGGAGAGCAGTGAAGATAACTTTTACATTTTAAATGCCTTACAGTTGTAATGTGCACGCGGCCAATATGCTTTAGAAGTGATGTGCTTTTAGGAAAGCTTCCAATTGGAAGGAAAAGTTGAGTTCACTCATTCTGAGTATTCTTGTGAGCTAAATTTTCATTTTTGATGGTCTGGTTATTTTATTGGGCTCTGAGGACTGGGGTCCATGTATCTTTTAGTAAGCGAGCTATGGTGGGTACACAGAAGGTGCTCCATAAATGCATTTTGGGGGAAGAATTTCTGTAAATTGATTTTTTTTAATTGCGGTAAAAATGCACGTAAGAAAATAGTTGCCATTTCATTTCAACATTTTTCACATGTACAGCACACCGACACTGTGCAAGTATGGCCTCAGTTTAAAATTTCTTCCACACGATGCAATTTGTGACTTTGGCTCCCTCTGTTCCACTGACTGGGTCCTGGGCCAGCAACTCATTCACTAGGACAAGGCTGCCTTCTGTTACCAGCCGTCAGACCCAGAGGACATGAAGCTGCCTACCATTGTGCCCTGTCTCCAGTGCCTGATGCCCACTGGCCACCAGCACTGAGGCCACACAACACTGCAAGTATAACTGGACCCTTTGAGTGAGGATTCCATTTGGCACATATACATCCTTCTTGGTCAGAGGCCCTTTGGTACAGTATTTGGAGATGACATTGCTTCTGAAATTTCAAGAGATTTGCCACTCACTTAATGATGCTTAGTAACACCTAACACCTTCCTCTCATCAAACCCAGATTGTGGACAAGAAAACAAGATTTGGGGAGGTCAGTGAGATGCTAAAAAGTCACTGAAATACAGAGACAGAATTTGAACTCCGGTCCAGAGGAGTTCAGACATTGGATTTTCTGGGGACTTGGTGTCTTTACTATCTTTTTTGTAACCCCCTTCCCGTTATTGTGGTTAAGTACTGTTGAGTCAGTTCCAACTTTTAACAGCCCTATGTATAACAGAATCACTTCTTGATCCTGTACCATCCTCATAATAATTCCTATGTTTGAGTTCACTGTTTCAGCCACTGGGTCAGTCCATCTCACTAGAAATCTTCCTCTTTCTCTACGATCCCCTATTTTACCAAGCATGATGTTCTTCTCCAGGAACTGGTCTCTCCTGATAACATGTCCAAAATACATGAGATGAAGTCTTGCTTTTCTTGCTTCTAAGGGGCAGCTGGCTGTACTTCTTCCAACACAGACTTGTTCATTCTTCTGGAAGTCTATGATACCTTCAATATTTTTCACCAACACTATAATTCAAATGCACCAATTTCCCACCGCTTTACCTTATTCATTGTTCAGCTTTCAAATGCATATGAAG